TGCATTTTGAGATGGAGCTTATGCTCGTTGAGATGGCCTGGATTGGCGAATATTGAGATGAAGGCTTATGCCTTGTTGATGCCTCTATTAATTGGCAATTTTTGAGATGAGAGTTCTGCTCCAATGGTACCACATGCATTTGCATAGTATTGAGTCGCATTATTTGATTGCGTAAAGAGGTTGTGCATTGAAGTGGTATATGTGTATATTGTTGATATTTTGTTACGATGTTTGTTGTTTGTAATATGAGAAGTGGTGATGTTGTGTGATCTAATTTAATATATTAATTATCATACGCTTTATTATATTGTTAGATATCTCATTCCTTCTGTTTAAATGTTGCCCTGATGTTGGTAACGTGCAGGTAATCGAGAGTGAATGATGTATACCTTCAATAGTTCGAGTTGGTGTCATTGCTCTGATATGTAACACTCGGGGGGGATGAACGCTTGTTGCTTTTGATTGTTGATTATTCAGTTGTTGAACTTTAAGTTGAATATTATTAAATATGTGTTGTTTTGAAGTTGTTGTAACGATGATAAAGATGTTATTAAGAATTCCGCTGCATAGATATTTAAATTGTTGAATTATTTAATTAAAGTATTATACTGATGGTTCATCTGATGTTTTAAAGTGTTATATATCTAGGATGAATGCAATGAGTTTTTAATGATGAATTTGTGACATCCTGATTCGTTTGCGTGAATGATTTTATAACTCTAATTTATTTATAATTGTCGGGTAGAATTGGGGTGTTACACTAATCCCCGTACCTTAGATCTCTTTGTGCTTTGCTTTTAGTTGTTGCTCCTTGCATTACATGTTTAATAATATGGCTTTGATCTTTTCCCTTTTTCTTGGAAACAATAAAGTTCAGTGGTGACTTCTTAATTTTGTGAGTCAAGTTAGGCAATAGCTTGGTCTCCTGATTTTTCACCGCGACTCATAGCGATGCAATTTTCGAAAGTCTTTAGTGAATAATAAAACATAAAATGGTAAACTAGTTATATACATGCAAGAATAAAATTGGTATTTAAAAAAAATTGGGGTATAAGTATAAATGTAGGAGTATATGGTAAAGTTTTCTAGAGTTTTTTTTCTCTAATTGTGGAGGTTTTAACATGCCACCCCCTGGCTTATACATGACACCTCCTAATTTGTGACAAAAATACTATAATAGCCTTGATAGATTTTACTTCTTTTTCAAAAAATTATTCAGTATACCACAAACTTTGGAAAAAAAATTAGATACCGGAAGTTTCATAGGCGATAACAGAAATTTTGTAGCTGTTACTGGAAATTCTATTGATTCTGTTGTACAAGTAAGTTTTTCACCGAAAATTTTGGACTTTTCTGGTATACTTCAAAGGAAATTTTGAAATTTTCCGTAAATATCTACGAGGTATTTCAAAATTTCCATAATGTCCAATATTTTTGAAATTTTCCATAAATTTACAAATTTCTGGTAGTTACTTTTTTTTTTGCCTTATCTAATTTTTTTCCCGTTTTTTCTCTTTTTTTTAGTGAGGAACTTGGGAAAGACGGGACCATCAGAGGCATGAGGGCCGATAGAGCTGTCGCCTAGGCCAAGACTGAGCAGTCAGAGGCTTCCCAACTTCGGGCTGGACGAGTTGTCCGACCGCTTCACACCGGAAACAAATGGCTGAGCAGGCGTATGGTCGATTTTGTGCACCCAGACGTCGAGCTGGTACTAAGGTTGTTGTTGTCGAGGTGCCCGCTCCTGAGAGTGTTGAGGTGCCTCCTAAGACTAATGAGGTGCCTCCTACTGATGTTGAGGTGCATGCTGATGTTGAGGTACCTGTGGAGGAGGTGCCTAGTCACAGGGAGATTCTGACTAGTACATATGCTACAACCCGTGCTTCTATAAAGGCATCTGTTCACACCAATGGAGCCTTCCCAAGAGGACCGAGTGACAAGTCTGTGCTCACAGACTATGTCGACCATGTTGATTACTGTTTTTGATAGAGAGAAGTATATATATATATGTTGAAGTTGATCTTATTTATGATCTATTATTGAAAATCCGTTGAATTTTTAAATTTTGTTTATTATAGGACCGTGTCCCGATGAAGGTGACATCCCAGGGGGCCAAGTTGAAGGACTGACCACAGACTGAGATGCCCAGACGGGTTAGGGTTATTGTTTGGGATTTCGATCTCCTCAACATGTCTAATTGCTTATTGACCATACTAGACGCTTCCCTCATGTCTGCTTTCATTGAGCGGTGGCACTCAGAGACATCTTTCTTTCATCTTCCATTTAGGGAGATGACAGTTACTTTAGATGACGTCTCTGCGTTGTTCCATCTCCCTATTAGTGGGTTATTTTTCACCGCTCCTATTATCAGCAAGTTGGATGTTGTTACGACAATCGTACATGATATGGGAGTGACTGAGGAGGAAGTGATTAAAGAGTTTGGCTACCACATGGGTCTTCACTTGCAGTTGTCTTGGCTCCGGGAGAGGTAGGATGAGTTTGTGTTGGAAGAGATGCATGAGGCCGCTGCTAGGGCGTACATGCTACATCTAGTAGCATGTACCGTTCTTGCGGACAAGTCTCATAATTATATTGATGCTCATTATGTTTGATTGTTTAGGGGTCTTGACCATGGTAGTTGGGATTGGGGGTGTTGTGCATTGACTGTTCTCTGTATGGTGTTATGAGTTGTGGTTGTCTTTGAGACAAAACAAATTTGTGGATATTTGAGTCTACTTCAGGTATGTGGTCATATTATTTATAATAGTTATTTAAATTTTAGTTGTGACATTTAGTTGAGACATTTCTTGTTTATTAATTGTTGTGTTTGTTTTCTGTTATTAGTGTTGGATATACAAGCACTTCCACCGCATCGTTAATAGAAGGGAGCAGCGTGTTGCATCGAATGCACCACGGGCGAGGAGATGGAGGTCCTGACAGACGCATTCAGTAGGATTGCTGGAGTACAGGAGAAGGCTTGATGCCTTGATAGTTGAGGATCTCACCTGGACACCATACAATGATCACATGGTCCTCCATCCGTTTGATTCGAGTTCTCTATTTTCAGGTCATTTGAGGTGGGAGAGCATGGTGGCTAGACAACTATCCGAGAGGTGTTTGCGACAGTATGGGTATGTCCAGGGTATCCCACGGCTTGTTCTAGGTTTTCCTGGTGGTGGCGTTGGTAATGATAGATGGTTTTAGAGTAACATTCTCAGCTTAGCTCGTGCCATTACAGAGAAAGCAGTGAGAGTTTAAGATGAGTCATAGTGTGAAGATGCATACATGGAATGATACCTCACAGTGTCCCACCCTTGCATCATCCCACCTACGCTCGACCATTTAGATGTTGGAGTTTTTGAGACTCAGGTTCGTATTGATGATATGCCACTGCCACCTTCCTCCGACACAGATGACCATGAGCGCCTCCAGATCATTGCTTCTACCATGGATAACCTCATGAGTTTGGTAAACCCGAATGGTGAGATTTATACAGGAGGCGTGAGAAACACACATAGCTCATGGCTTGGTAACCTCATGACTCACTTCGTTTTGAGCATTACATCTTTCGCACATCAACATAACTTAAAACATAATAAAATACATAACTAATAACATAAAAGCTAGAAACTATGTGATGATTCTGGACGTTCCAACATCTTAATTACGTCGTCGGCAGATATGGCAAGCCGCGCTTCCAATTCCAACAGCCCCTTAGTTAGCCTACGGAAGTATGATTTCCACATGGCCTTCATATCTTCATCGCTCTTCAACTCAACAACGTTGTAACTAACCCTTATGTCAACATCCATGTTCCAATTTTCACGGTATGAAATCTTCCTCACCCTTCTATTATCAGTATCAGGCTGCAGTTCTTCCAACTTTTCCGTCAGTGACTCGAGGATCATAAACCCATCTAGAATCCAAAACTTCACAGGATCTTGTGCTCCAGCGAAGTGCACTGTTGCGTTAACCAAAAATTGAGGAAGAGGAATTTTGTGATTTCTGATTATTTCTCAACATGTGACCCCTATTTATACAGCTTTCGATGCGTTCTGAACCACATAAAATTGTAGGTGCAATTATAACCCTTCAAAACTGTCGGTAAAATCTTAACCGTTGGATAAAACAATTTTTTATAACCTATCAGAAATTCCAATTTCAACTAAATTTCCGGTATTTTCATGGAAATGTTAAAATTTCCATAATTATTTGTAGCATACCAGAATTTTCTTTTTGAACTAACGGAAATTTCATAGTTACCGGAAATACCAAAGATTTAGTTTGGAATAATCTCTTATTTCATTACCAGGGGTATTTTGGCATAGCCATTATAAAAATTAAGGGGAGGTGCCATGTATAAATTTGAGAGTGACATGTTAAATTCTCCCTAATATGTACTTGTCCATTGGGCCTATATAATGACCCAAGTCTGTATTTTCAGATTAATAAAATTTCTCTTTTTTCTTTTATCAATATACTTCCCTCCCAGCCATGTGTCAACAGTATTAAAAATTGATTTCTAACTCGAGTATATGGTCTAACTCTTAATAGTGAAAACATGTCATTTTAAATATCAAATACAAAGATGATGAACGAAATATATAATCTATAAAATGGAGAATTAATTTCTTTTAATTATATTGATTTTGGTTGTTTCAAAATCCTTATCTCAATGAACAATGATAAAGATGTGGATAAAACAATTCTGCATTAAGAGAACAATGAATAAACTATATAGTGCAGTTATTAATATTTATTAAACTTAGTTATAATTGATGGTTAATCCACATATTTCAGACCTCAACTATATCAAAGTTTATGAAGACTTAGGTTATAATATAGTAGGAAAAATATGTATATCATGCTTATTACAGTTCTAATTATTTTCATAAGTTTACACACCATAATTTATGTTGTTTATACTCACTTGATCACATAAAGAATCAGAGTATGATCAAGAAGAAGAAAAAGTTGGAGAGAGAACATTTATTTTAACTTACTTAAGTAGCAATATGAGGAGTGTTTGAGAGTAGAGATGAATTCTCCTCAATTTTCATGGCGGTTTTGTTGTTGAGAAAATTTGAATACCACAAAGCAGAAAGTTTAGGTTGTCTCCTCAAAGTTGGATCTTGAAAATCTATGTAATATAAACCAAAACTTGCTTCATATCCACTTTGTAACTCAAACACATCCAAGAAGGACCACACAAAATAACCTCTTATATCCAGTCCATTCCTGCAATATCGAGTAGAATAGAAGAAGTAAAGGAATATTGAAATCGAAGATCGTGTTAAGATATGGAACACATTAAAACTAGAGATACCTCAACATATTAGGCAGACTCCCTATGTATTCACGAATATATTCCACCCTTGGTCTGTCGTCTAATGATTTACTAGGTAATAGTTGTCCTGAATAGAAGTTCAAAGATTCATTATAGCTCGTCAACATTTTGATGTTATTGACAAAAGTACTAGTATAAAAAGACTAGGTTCGTTCGACAGATGTTTCTGAGAGATTCATCGTACCATTTTCGTGAATGTAAATTGGAAAATTTCCATATTCTTTCTTCAGTGAATAAAGCATTCGTTCCAAAATCCAGGGTGTAATTGGAATCTAAACAAACCAATCGGCTAGTAAGTGGAACGGATTGAAGCATCAACGCACAAAGAGTAAATGAAACCAAAATGTTCTTTTACCTCTTCGTGTAAGGAAATATTTTGAGGGATGTCTGCATCAAGAAAAAAGATATTAATATATGAAAGTTCCACGAGATTGGTTATATAATCAAAATTGTTGCAGTAAATATTACAAATAAGCTCCACGCCCATATCTGCTACGAAATCTCTATTCTTTATCTGCAGGCTGCCAGGGCTGTTCTTAACATGAAATGCATAGTAGAAATTGATTCCAATGAAGTCAATTGATCCCTTGACGAGGTTTGATTCCGTACTGGTGAAGAAAGGAAGCCTCGAGCCAACATTCTTTTTCATGATGGCGGGATAATCTCCAAAAATAAAAGGATTCAGATACCTGTCACAACAAATCAAAGGTAAAATAAGTATATAGATAATTCAATATATTGCGAGTCCTATCGTAATTTGGTATGATGACTCTAACACAATCACAATGTGACTTACCACCCTACAAAGAAATCTTGGGCTCTTTTAGTGGCGATAACGTCTTCGCTGGTATTTGTTAGTGGAAGATATCCTTGAACAAGGATATTAAACCCAATAAATCCTTGTTGCTTGACCTGCAAGTATCAAACATATGTCATAAGTTGTTTCTATAATCTCTCCAAAAGAGTCTAACAAGTACTACTTATATCAGTAGAAAAACTCAAAAAAACCGATCCAAATTGGTGTACCTTGTACTTATTCCTGTAGAGATTTGCAGCTGATGCATGTGCTAACAACATGTGATGAGTAACCAAATACGGCTCGGTTGAAGAATTGCCTTTGGAGCAGTTAAATATAGAAGAAGGAGAACATCTTTGAGGTTGTACAGCCCCTACATCATATCCCATCATGGAACACATATTCCCCTCATTCACAGTCGTCCAATGTTTAACTCTATCTCCAAACTCTCTGAAGCATACATCGGCATATGCTGTGAAGTCTTTTCTGCAAGAAACATAAACCAATATGCAAATGTTAAACTTTGAACTCCTATCTAACACAAGACGGTCATGTTATTAGGTAATTCTAGTTTCGGAACCATACATAATTCTTCGACTAATCCATCCTTCATATTCATCTTCAAGTGTTTGTGGTAAATCCCAATGATTCAATGTGACATGTGGTTGGATACCTATAAATGAAGGAGAAAAAGACGAATAACTATATAATAGGGAAGGAACTTTGAACTCGGTGTTGTCAAATAGCGGTTATATAACAAAGTGTTGTAAAGTCGAGGTTACATGGAACCATAGCAGTGTAGCATAGTAGAATTTGACAGCTGCTATTTCTAACAATCCGCTATTAAAATTGATTGAACTTTACAGTGTAAATATCTAGTTTGCAAAAGAACCTTGGCTTGTTAGTTCGTCGATGAGGTTGTTGTAATACTCCAATCCCTTAGGATTTATCGGCCCTATCCCATCTGTTATTAAATGAGATCAAGGTCAGAATACTAAACAAGGTTGCAGTTTGTTGTAATACTTCATAAGAAGTGTCCATTGTTCGACATGCATTGAAATTCGACAAAGACACGTGTTTACATTCAAATACTTTGTTTGCTAAAACTTCGTGTAAAACGTGTCAATGTCACTGTCATGTCTGAAATTCATTTTTGTGTTTTTGCTTCATTAACCTATGTAGGATCATACCTGGAATAAGTCTTGACCATGATATGGAAAATCTATAGGCATCTAAGCCCATTTTCGCCATGAGTTTGACATCATCCTGCAAAAATGAAAGCATATATGTGGACTAATAGTAACATACCATTCTTTTGGTAGGTAAAAAATGAGGGATCTGCTATATTCTATATCTACTGACCTTATATTTGTGATATTGATCACAAGCAATGTCACCATTTCCCTGGTATGCCCCTCCTGTAAATTTAATTCAAATAAAGAATGTCATTGTTGTAACTATGGCTATACAACAAGAATAAATGCATCAACTTATGTTGTAAAGAACATGAGATTTCTATGAAGGTGTTAAAAAATGGTCCGATATTGCAAAAACCACCGTCACAAAACGGAATCAGAAGATGCCAATACTAATATTGTTATTCACCGTTTTCATGATAAAAAATAAATTGCAATTGATTCACACCGTGACGACCGCAATCAGTATCGCAACACTCATAGCGACCAAAATCGCAAAAGTCTTTACATGACCGCAGACCATTTTTAAAACCTTGATTTCTATGCTAATTATTGTTGAGTAAATTGTTGTGTACCATTGCCAGCATGTGCATAGGTATCCCATATACTTGGCTTCCTGCCATCTTGGTCTGCTGCACCTTCTACCTTCCATATCATTCCAATTCCAAAATACAATAATTAAAACAAAAAAAGAAAGTGTTTCACACAGGACCATAGACATTAAACTTTATAAATCCAAACATCAAATCAAAAGTTTTTATGAAACATTTCATCAGAGTCGTCTTTGATAGCGTGCAAGACAGACCACCCCACATAAAAATTTAAGCCGGATCGGATGATAATTTGAATAAAAACTTAAAACAATATGAGGATATATGGTGAGAGAGAGAGAGAGAGGAGAACCTGATAAGCTGAAGTAGAAGCACCAAACAAGAAGTGAGGAGGGAAGTCAGTCTTGGTGAAAGCATTAGCATCAACAGGGAATAGTGGTAGTGCTACAAATATAACTGCAACAAAGAGATGCATCATAGCAAAGGAATCTATCAATGTTAACTACTTAATTGGGAATAAATATGAAGTAGGTGAGTGATGAATGCTTATATATTATTATATCATGTCGACCAGAAATTTCAGACCACTATTCACAAGTTGGTCCTAATTTCATTTGTCATTTCTTTACATCAATAATACAAATATTTTATCTATAATAATTTTGTAATAGTGTGAGTTGCATCTTTTTGACTTTTTTGTTGGTTTTGGCCGATTCCAAATATTCAAATTTAAAGGCTTCTACTCCGAATGTAGCACATTGGAAAGCTATAAAGAGAAGAAAACAATAAGTGTAGTTATTGTCTTGGAAATAAAATATATATTTTCTCTCTCTCTCTCTGACTAATAGTAATACGACAAAACAGAATCTTCCACGTATAATAGGAAGGAGGCTGAACCCATTGATAATGATGGAAGGTGAATAATAAATACTAAGCTAAAGAAATAGAGTTTATGTCATGAAAATGATTTTTTTAGCCTAATTATGAATTTATTATGGTCATGCCATTTTATCTTGTCATGCCATTTTAAACCGTATCTAAGAAAATCCGTTATTGTGTTCTTTGACGATATTTTAGTGTATAGTGATAGTTGGAGCACGCATATGAAGCATTTAGAGGTGGTATTACAGTTGTTGGTCAACATCACTTTGTGGCTAATAAAAGCAAATGTGCTTTTGGTCGACAACGGGTGGCAAATCTAGGCCATGTCATTTCTAAAGAAGGGATGGTTGTGGATCCTACCAAGATTACTAGTGTATTAAAGTGGCATGTATCAACAATTATGAAAGGAACTAAGGGCACTATCACTTATTTTATCTTGTAGAGGTAATATATATTTTAGAAATATTTAAGTATATCTTTTTATATCTTGTTAGAGGATATTTTAATATTTTATTATATCTTAATTTTGTATATAAATAGTCTAGTAGTAGGTAGATCAATGTAATTCATTATTTCTTATTTTGTAGCTGTCATTAAATATATTCCTTTTGTATTTCATCTCTCATTTGTGCACCAACAATTGGTATCAGAGTCCCGGTTCGAAATCCACGGAGAAACACGGGAAACACGAGTGAACAGTGAGGTATTATTGAAAATCGTTTTTTCTGATTCTTGGGATTTGGGAAATACTTTTAATGAATTTTGAGTGAATTACACAAGGTTGAAGATGAACGAAAACGACGATATAAATTCCAAGCTTCCAGCGTTTGATGGCAAAAACTGGAATCGTTAAAAGATCCAAATGCTTGTGTTGTTTGGTTCTCAAGATGTGTTAGATCTTGTCACTGATGGCTATGCTCCGTTAGCAGCAGACGCAATAGAGGCACAAAAGATAACGCAGAAGGCGCTAAGTAAGAAAGATCAAAAGGTGTTATTCTACATCTATCAATGTGTGGATGCGAACGTGTTTGAGAAGATTGCTGACTCTGAAACAGCAAAGGTTGTGTGGGACACACTGGTCAGATGTTACGGTGGTGACGCATCAGTGAAGAAGGTGGAGCTTCAGTCTCTTAGAAAGTAATATGAGAATCTCAACATGAAAGACAACGAGAAGGTTTCTGAGTACATCTCTAGAGTGATTCTGATCACTAATGAGATGAAAGCTTATGGAGAAACTCTTTCTGAAAAAGTAAACATTGAGAAGATATTGGGATCTTTAACTTCTCAGTTTGATTATATCAACGTAGATCCTAAAGACTCGATTTTGAGCACGACGAAGGGAAACAAGCCCATGAATAGCAGCTCCATTCGAAGCAGGGCAAACTTCAAAAAGGTGAAAAAAGAGATCACTAGAAGTCGAACCAATCGTTCTCAGGTTTTCATACCAGTATTGAAATACTCAAATGAATCCTCGGGCATGTGGATGGAGTTGTGAAGGGGAATTACGCAAAGATGGTCTGTAACTTCTTTCTCAAAATAAGTCAGTGAATGATAAACATCAAAATTATGAAAGACGCGGACGTAGAAAGGGATAGAACACCCTTCAAATTTGTAAAATATCCTTTTTTTTTCAGCTAGCACCAGTAAGATGCCCCAATCGGAAGAAACCCCTATTTCTAAATGGTCAAATGGTACTTCTTTCCCCTGAACAAAAAAAGGCTTATGGGCCAAATACTTTGGTTTGATCCAAGAATAATCTTTCGACGCGATTGCCTCCATCTAACCAATGGGTCAAGTGAAGACCTAGGATTCACGAAACAAAACAAAGTGACGCAAAGAAAATAGACAAATAGGTGGTAACGATATGGAATAAAATGGAAAGTAATGCCTAAACTCATGTAGGAAAAGGCAAAATGAAGATCAAGGATCCGGATCAAGCAATCTGAGAGCAACAAGCTTTATGTCCCATCAATCTTCATGAAAGTGAAAAACACTTAGTACCCTATGTAGGGTAGTTGATTCCTAACCCACGTACCTACAGTGACGTGTTAACAATTAAGGGAAACAACTAATCAGTGACTAGAAAGCATTAAATGTGTTTATTCTTCATTGTTTCTGCAAAGTACTCAAGACGTTTCGATTATCAAAGCAATTGAGATAAGTCTTTGATATTTCCGACCAAGAATACTAAAGACTTTCCGGTCTTCAAGATCCCTGTTAAGTCTTAGGGACAACTGTTATGGACCGCCCTTATCTTCCTTGACCAGGTCACCATAAGACGAAACACTCTGGACTCAAACGTATGAATCAGACACTCAACTAGCTTCTAGAACATTCTCCTCGCCACTAGACCATCATACACCCAGCTCCATGAGATTCATGCCTCAAGCACATTCAATGATCCCCCGCATTTCACGCTTGAAAGATAGCGAGGTCGTTATTCCTCTTCCTAACATATATGGAATGACATCATTTCAGGTAAGAAATTCCAAACACAATTTGAATACTCTCTACTCTTTTACTTACTGAGTTAAACGTTAGAGTGTTAACCTTGCAGGTACACCCCATTCCATCACACCAAAAACTCTACTCTACCATAATTTTCACAACTCTATATATTTTTTATTCCAGATCGAAACAGTTTTCTTATCTTATACACAAGATATATAAGTTATTTGTTATCCTCCAGATTACACTATCCAAACATACCCTTAACACACTTTAAAAAAAATACTTCCAACGGCTTAAAAAACAAATATACACCACATATTTTTAAAACAAGCATTTTCTTTTATGGAATTGAAATAAAAATACATATAATTTTTTTTTTCTCTTTGTACCCTTAAATTTAAAAGACTAATACAACTGTAACCCAAAAAAGACTAATGCAACAAGACACCTGCGTTTCTCCTTCCCTTAATGTTCCACACTCTACTCACTCTTAACTAGTCCTTTATTTTTCTGTTTTTACCTTTCATATTATTGCTTTTATAATTTACTATATATGTTGCTAGCATTTGAGCTTCATTCAGTGTACTAAATGTATACATTAGTAATATTAGAACTACTCAACATTTATTTTGAGAGCCTGTTAGTGCTCTAAGCCATACAACATTAGAAGACCAAAAGTGATGCAGAATTAGCAATATTTAAGACTGCATATATTTATCAGACATATCTTTATAAACAAGTTTTATCAGGAAATATAATATACCAACATATCTAGATACAGATAACATAAGTTTACACACCATATTTCATGCAACTTTCTCTCACATGGTCAAGCAAAGAACCAAAATATTACCAAGGAAAAAGAGAGAGGAGGCTATATATTTGAACTAGACCTAGTTACTTAAGTGGCAATATGAACTAGGAAGTGTTGGCGAGTACAGATGAATTCTCCTCAGTTTTCATGGCAATCTTTGAGTCTAGTGATTTATTGTTTAGAAAATTTGAGTACCATGCCGCAGAAAGTTTAGGTTGTCTCCTCAAGGATGGATCTTCGAAGTGCACGTAATATAGGCCAAAACTTCGTTCTAATCCATTCAGTAATTCAAATACATCTAGAAAGGCCCATACAAAATAACCTCTAATATTCAGTCCACTCCTATCAATGTGAACATAGAAACCACTCCATTAGAATTCAAGAAAAAATAATCAATAAAGACATAGTAGAAAGTGAAAATAGAGGTACCTCAACATATCAAGCACGCCCCCGATGTATTCATGCATATACTTCACTCTTGACCAGTCATCTAATGATGAATTCCTACGAGTTTGTTGACCTGAGAAGTTCAAATATTATTCATCATAAACCATCAACATTTTGATGTTATTGATATAAGTACAAGTAGGAATTGACTTTGGTTGTGCCGGATTTTTCAAAGGCTAAATCTAATTTGTATCTAAAACTTAAATGTCAAGAAACCTAATTTGTACCGATTTCGTGAAGGTAAATGGGAAAATTGCCAAAATCATTCTTCATTAATTGAAGCATCCCTTGCAAAATCCAGGGTATCACCGGAAACTAAACAAACAAATCAGCTAGTGAGTGGAATCGATTGAAGCTTTAATGCTCAAAAAGTAAAAGTAACCACAATGTTCATATTCTAGTTTTACCTCATATGTATATGTACCATTTCCAGAATAGGCTACAATCATGTAACAAAACATTATCAGATTAAAGATCCTTGTATAGTTGGAAGAAAGAGAATATCAAACATTGATTTAGCTTATCATAGTTTCTAAGATGTAACATGTTTTCATCTAAAGGAAGTTGTTTGATCTCAATATAGAGTTGGGTATGCAATCAAATTGGTGCAATAAATAACATAGAAATAATCATACGCTTAATCTCTGCGGCCATATCTGCCATATGATCTCTATTCTTTTTCTGCAGACTACCAGGGTTGTCCTTAATATAAAATGTGCTGTAAAAGTTGACTCCGAGAAAGTCTATTGAGCCCTTAACCAAATTTGATTCCCTACTCGTGAAGAAAGGAAGTCTTGAGCCAACATTCTTTTTCATGGTGCTAGGATACTCTCCAAATGTTAAGGGATTCATAAACCTGTCATCATAATCCAGAGAAAAGAAAT